GATGCAGTAATTAATGCAAAAGGAGGCCCAACAAAGTACTGAGGACATAATACAGTACATTAACACACTTTTCAGAAGGCCAACATGTGTTTAAGATCCTTTTTTTATTGGTCACATGAAATATTCTAATTTTGTGAAATCCTGGATTTGCAAGCAGCATAATGCTGCTTATTAAGGTTTTCACAAATTATTGAAATAAATGGACTTTCCCTCGATATTCTAATTTTTTGGCACATACCTGTAATTGTGTGAGTAATATTCAATTGTTCTTGATTTCCTGGTTGTTTAGCCTCTACTGCTGTTCCTGATTCTCTCCAGTGCTGCTTTGTCCTGTTTTTAGGTGCCTTTGATTTGCTTATATTGTGCTGTGTAAAATGTAACGTTCTGATGACGCTACTTTTATAATCCTTGTGTGTATCGGTCCTAATGCTTTGTTGCCTTTATGTAACTTTTTATTTTAAGACTAAGTGTTCTTTGTTACTATGTACTTACGTATGCATGCGCCGCACGGAGTGGCAGCAAGTTACAGCAGCTGTGTCCTCGTTGTGTGTTTTTTCCTGTGTTTCTATGACGTTCTGTTCTTATGCGTTTGTTCTTATGGTGTTATGTTAGCTGTTCTCTATTGCTGCTGTAACACAGAAATTTCCCCACTGTGGGATCAATAAAGTACCTACCTACCTAAATAACTAAACAACATTTTTCAAAATCACATTCTTAAAACAGCTGTTTATCACAGAGGAGAAAAGATGGAATAAAAAAAATACATATATCACAATGTTTAATGAATGAAACATGAGAACAATCTTACCAGAACAAATGGTAAAATACAAATTTACACAGCAACAAAAGACAGAATAAATCTTATCCTTCTTTCCAACTTCCAAAAAAAGCTCAGTCTGATAGCATCATTCCAAAACTAATTGAAGTGTCATGTGATATACAGAGGGAGAGTTTAGAAAATTGATGATCACATCCTCTATCGTGATACTGGAGGTAATCAGAAGAGGTGATGAGGAGCATTTTATGGGTAACGCCACAGCAGGAAATGTCTGACACCCAAGAAGCCGGATCAAAGTTATTGAATAGTGTAGGAGCAGGTATGTCTGTGGACAGTCATTTACCATGCTGTGGACAATTTGAAATTGTTTCTGAATCACTTCAAAACAACTATTATCAAAGAGCTTCCCACTGCCAGCACTGTTACACAAGCAGTCATAAATACAAATGGCTTTAACAGAATAGAAAAAGTCATACATTTTATAATTGGCTTTGAATGGCACAACTAGTGCATGGATGCAGGAGAGCTCAGTGAGTGAAGAAACTGCCCTTCAAGGCCTAGAGATCAAGGCACCTCAAAAGTAATCATGTGTCTTGCAGGAGTATCCTCAGGCAAATCCCAGTTCCCCCTTTTTTTTTATCGTTCCTTGGTCCTCACTCAAACAAGAATGTCGATTCAGTCTGCCATGATGAAGGACATTCCAAAGGTCTTATTTCTGCTCTCTGAGTGAAGAGGCTGCCTGGAGGAGCTATAATTGAGGATACACAAGTACATCCTTTACAGAAGTCTGTCTGATGCAATTAAGAGAACTGGGATTTACCCAGTGCGACAGTGCAGAGTGGTAACTCTCTGGTCAGCTAGTAAATGTCTCACCAGACCCTGGCCTCAAGGTGGGTGATTGACCGGGGGACAACTCTGGAAAAGTGATTTACCTAAATTGATCATATGATTTTTGGAAAAATATTTAGATGATATAACAAGTGTGAAGAGAGGAGGTGAGTGTATGTCTGGTGGACTGTTTCAGGAACATCTCCACAATCTAAGAGCAGTGCTCTTCAAGCCACAAAGAAATCCATAACAGTTCAAGTCCTTTACTGTAGTAAAACAACACGAGAGAAGATGCCAGGAGGCTCTTTGCCATCGCCCAGAGCTGCACGGAAACCCTCCTGTTGCCGAGCTCGTGCCACTTTTGCAAGTGAGAGGAAAGACCGAGGCTCTGTAATGGCCAGATCACTGATAGCATGCCGATTCAGCTGAATGCTGCTCTGTACAGAGGAAGAGAGGAAATGTGTTACATAAGTAGAATGAACCAGTAGCATTAGAGAGGACTAGTATAATGCTGTGACATTTAACACAACTAACCTTGATGAGGTTGTGCATAAGGACGGGATACTTCATGCCATGCTCTCGGGATGCTGCTGCAATGCGTGTAATCCAGAGCTGAAAAAAGAAAATACAGCATAACAAAAACAATAAATGTCATCTAAATACATTATCATGCCCAAGTAGTTAATTATGTGTCACTGTCAATCATTTTTTGCAGGAAAACATCATTCTGACACACTGCAACTGGAACAAGGAAGGACAGCTACAGTTTAGTAAGTTGCAATACAGACTGCAGCAGTGGTCCCCGAACTTTTTGACTTGTGACCCCCTAAAATGAACCTCTGTTTGTGATTACTAGTCACAGGGCATGGTCTTAGTGGAGACATGACTGGTGAGTAGTGCAACTAAAGACTGATTTTTATAGTTATGAGAGAGATTGTTTTGTTTACAAAAGTTCACAATAAATTACAAAACAGTTTCACGACTTGTATATTTTCCCCTTCCTGTACCAAAAACAAACAGAACCGTTGTACCCGTGTGTGTGAGAGAGATCAGGTGCTGTAATACACACTTACACAACATTTATAAGTTATTCCAGTCAAAATGTGATTTGACAGATTTGTTGTTGAAGACGTATCATTTGTGTCATACCTTTCTCATGTTACGTTTCTTTAGCCTCCGGCCTTTGGTGGCGTAGAGGAAAGCCCTCCTGACGGCCCGCACAGCCAGACTGTAGCACCGGTTCTTTCTGCCTCTGAAGTGCTGTGTAAAGGACCAACAGAAAGTCGACCACAACAGAAGTCAAGTCAAGATTTTTATTTGCCATATATGCATAAACAGACAGTCTAGGCATATAGGAATTGTTGTGCAGATCTCCTCTGGAGTCAGGCAAGGAGGCAAAAGCCAGAAAGAACACTTAGTCTTACATAAAGGCAACAAAGCATTATAACCGCAATACACAAAAATAGGGTAATAGTATTTTCCCCAGTGACCTGCAAACTATCATCATTATGCTGCTAAAGTTAGATTTGAATGATGATGTAGCTTTCCAACTGTGCGCCAAGACAACCAGGCACAGGGACAGTTTCTTCCCCATCATCACTCTGATGAACACTTGACCCACGACCTGTAAATATACGTTGTACAGACTATACAGATCCGTACAGGTCTCTATTTTTAAGTACTCCATTTTTATTCCCATTTATCTAATTTCACAATGTCTGTCTGCATTGTTTACAGCCTGTTTATTTTGCATTGTTTGTTGTTGTTAATACTGTTTATTTTGTTATACTACACAACCTTATGTTGGTTTACTGTTCACTTGTCCCTTGCATGGAGACATGCACATTGAGAGCGGCTGTACCAGAGTCAAATCCCTGGTGTGTCCGACACACCTGGCCAATAAAGCTGATTCTGATTCTAGAACAAGCAGCACGGGGATCATCTCTACTGTAAAATATAGGCGAATCCCTTTCTACGTTCGTTTAAACATCACTTCACTTTACAACATTATAATGAGACGTTTAGAGTAGAAAGTTTGGGAATAGGTTTGCCTATTCTGCTTCAGGAAATAACCTCGACCTTACCCGTGCATGTTTGAGGAGTTCTTGCACTTTCCAGTATCTGTCAGGTCCCCGGTTTCTGATCCAACAAGACAACGTCAAGAACACCATGTTTGATTATCAGCCTCCCTTTGATAGAACGAAAACACGGAATTAAGTGACCTTAACCTAATTCCACATGCGAGGAGACGATGTGATGCGAGAGCAACCCACACCGGACGCCGTACCACAACTGACTAGCGGAACTGGGTACGTTCGTTTTAAAACCCAGAGCATCCGACGTGTATCTGTTCATCCTCTGTTTTCTGACAGGAGTAAGCCACGACTTAGTCTGCAACCCAAGGTGAATCAAACGAACGAATTTATTTATTGCCGTTGATGAGTAGCATTTGGATAGAAAACAGCGAAATGGAAGACAAAAGAAAAAATGTCGCAATCAAATTGCAAACAATTCATTCTCGTCTTGTCTGTGTGTGTGTGTGTGTGTGTGTGTGTGTGTGTGTGTGTGTGTGTGTGTGTGTGTGTGTGTGTTTGAAAAAGGGAAACGTCGTGCTACAAAATACGCGCTCCCATTCGAGCAGTGACGTAGGCGCGGTGGATGCTGGGATAGTAGGCAGTGGAGGTCAAAGAAACTCCAAAATGTCGGTGCTTGGTGTCTCGTCCTTGAGTCGCTGTGGGCTTTTGGCGCTCCGGTCCCCTGCAGGAGTGGTACGTTTAAGGTCTTTAAAATAAATAAACAGTTTCAATTAGCTGCTGTTGTCAGTTGCTGTTCCTGTCACGTAGCCCCGTCGTTTCGCATAGACTACATCCCCCTTTGACAGCGAACGGCTCCGTCTATGCTCTGAAGGCCATGGTGGCGTAATCCAAATAACAAGTTAGCTTCACTGTGTACTGTAAAGAGACTCAGCAACAACTTCTTAAGCATTTTTATTTCTTATATATTGGTTGGTGTGTGCTTAGCTTTACATATAGCCCGTAAGTATTTATGTAAACCTCTAATATGGCAGGTGGAGCTTTAGTAAAACTCGTAAACGTTATTTAGCTAATTGTAGCATAATAAGTAAAAACAATCTGGACAAAATTGATGAGTTTACAACTTGACCCCCTGTAACAATAGAGCCAACAGCGTAACCTACATGAAGGATGCCTAGTGTCTGTAAATGAGCAATATGCTGGTTTGATCGATCAGATGTGAACATTTTCTATTAACTATTGATTCTGTATAATTTGTGTGTTTGTGTTACTATGTTGTTTTATTTCTGTATTGACCTTATTCACTTTAGTTTTTTCCTTGTAACGTACTTTGGTCAACCGGATGTTGTTTTTAAAGTGCTATATAAATAAATTTTGATTGACTATTTTTCAGCATTTCATAAACGAAACGATTAAAGGCTTAATTGAGAAAATAACCGGGTCAGCAGTGGATAATGATTAGTTGCAGCCCAGTTGTTTCCTAGTTGCGCTAGATTTTAGTATCAAAATCAGAAGATCCAATGATATTTATTAATGACTAAAATTACTCCAAGAAAAAGCAAAACCCCAAAGTTTAAAACAGAAAATAAGATGACATATATATTATCAGACTAATAGGAACATTAAGTAATGAACTGTCATAGCCAGCACAGGGGCATTGGAGAGGAAGAAGCAAAGAGTTGCTTAAATTGTCATGTTGTCACTGTGAATGCATCACGGAGCCATGCAGGCATGTTCTGTGTAATGTGTGCCGTAAGAGTCATGCTTCTTTTCTGCTTGTCCATGCTGTCAGGCAGTGCGGTATGCCCAGACAGCAGCAGCTCCAGTAGCACAGCCCAGAATAAAGAAGTTTCAGGTGTATAGATGGGACCCAGACACTCCAGGAGACAAACCCCGCATGCAGACTTATGAGATCGACCTAAACAGGTAGGTGCAGCTTTCCTCCTTTCAGTGATGAGGATGGGGAGGGCCAGTACTTGCTGCATCTGATCTTTTGTAATTATAAGTATTTTGAATAGAAATGCTATTTGTTCTTGCCAGTGATGATGATATGTTTTCTGGCTCTGGTCATGTTCTCTTGCACTGATGGAGTCTTGCTGCTTAGGGTTCTGAAAGCAGTACCCAAACCGTTGAGAGGGCATGATTATTGAACTGAGACCAGCGTTTAGGTGGATTCACACAGGTGGCTCTGACAGCCTAGCATATCCCCAGTCCTCATCCTTCATCTGTTCCTCTAATTAGTTTGGAGAGACCCTGTACCACCCACTTATATCAACATGGCACTGCTGGCAAAACGTAAAAATGCAATAACACTAGGATTTGGTTTGGTCTACATCACAGGACATATCAGAAGTGTCTCCTTTTATACTGTAGTGTTTTAAAAATGACTCACTGACTGGTTGTGTTATTCTTTATCTAGTTGTGGCCCAATGGTTCTAGATGCATTGATCAAGATAAAAAATGAGATGGACCCCACCCTGACCTTCCGCCGTTCCTGCAGAGAAGGTCAGTGACATGGAAATTGAAGTGTGCCACCAGAATAATTATCAACCTTTCAAGTTTGTTATTAGAGATTAATTTAATGCAAGGTTTTGGTAATTTGCTTTATAGATGGTCTTTTTAATGATTACTAGTCCTGCAGGCCACTGGGCCTTCAGTCATGAAAGACAATGCTGTGAATCTCCACTTTTGTTTTCCGACAGAAGTATCTGTTATTTCACCACAGTGACAAAATACTAATATTCAGTCTGTTGGTAGAAAAGGTGCTTTGTCTTTAGATTGTCCTGTCTCAGAAATGATTACTTTTTTATATCTTGTAATTTCAGGTATTTGTGGGTCCTGTGCAATGAACATTAATGGAGGAAACACACTTGCTTGTGTCCTCAAGATTGACACCGACATTAGCAAGCCATCTAAGATTTACCCTCTGCCACATATGTATGTGGTCAAGGACCTGGTACCTGTGAGTATAAAGCACTGTAAATAAAAAAAATGGATGAACCACCATGACGTCACTTATTGGTTTTCTGAAGTGTGGCTTTGAAGCTCAAGTTGGGTCGTTGCCATATTGGTAGTGCTTCACTCTACCTCCTATGCCTAATGAAAAAATAGGCCAAAAGGTGGCGTGTGAGTGGAGCTCGCTAGACAGCTAGTGACTAGCCACCTATGGCGGAACCCTCCTGCCTTTCACTCAGTGCGGTTACGTCCTTAATTAATGAGGAACTTTTAGTCTCAGCATAATTTAAACGGCCGAGTTGTCTTTGAAGGGGAAACTAGCTATGGAGACCACAACTGTTAACTTTATTTCTGCTGTAAAGTTGGGCATTTTAACATGGGAGTCTATAGGGATTGATTCCCGTTTGGAGCCAGCCTCAAGTGGCCATTCAAGGAACAGAAGGGTTTAACACTTCCCCCAATTTTTAAAAAAATAAACAACGTTACGTTAATCACGCATTTTTAGGATTGTTGGCATGAAAATCCAGTTTCTCATAATCACATTTCAGAAGCATTTTTTAGAGTTTTTTTTTTTTAAGTTGTGTATGATGACTGTGCAATCATTTTGCAGGATATGAGTAACTTCTATGCCCAGTACAAGTCTATTGAACCCTACCTGAAGAAGAAGGATGAATCAAAGGAGGGGAAAGAGCAGTACCTGCAGTCTATGGAGGACAGAGACAAACTGGTACACTGCTGGTTTGATTTGTCATTCAACATGCATAGACGATGGGCCTTCTGGCACTCAAGAGTCACACTAAATGCCCTTTCTTGCTTTTGGCCTGTGTAGGACGGATTGTATGAATGTATCCTGTGCGCCTGCTGCAGTACAAGCTGCCCAAGTTACTGGTGTATTGCCGACAAATACCTCGGACCTGCTGTTCTGATGCAGGTGTGTGTGTGTGTGTGTGTGTGTGTGTGTGTGAGAGAGAGCGCATAAACACGTTGGATGTTCTGAATCAGCTTAAAACATGTCCATGTGTATGAATAATAGGTACATATCCTGTTGTCTTCCAGGCTTATCGATGGATGATAGACTCCCGAGACGATTTCACAGAGGACCGTCTGTCCAAGTTGCAGGACCCTTTCTCTGTGTACCGCTGCCACACTATCATGAACTGCACCAGTTCCTGCCCCAAGGTAAGCTGTCAGCACACATTTGCATCATCACAGCTCATCACATGTATCTTTGTGCAGGCCCTCCTCACTCCTTCAGTGTCTGGTGAAGATTGAGGATTTCCATCTTGGTTTCCATTCATCAGATATCAGTGGTTCTTATTATTCTCTCCTCATCGTCTCCTCCTCCTCCTCTCAGGGCCTGAACCCAGGAAAAGCGATAGCTGAGATTAAGAAGATGATGGCCACATACAAGGAGAAGAAGGCAGCTGCTGTCTGACACCTCAATTCTCTTTTTCTACACCACTTCCATCCATGATTAAGTTATATTGATTTAAGACAATGTTTACTGAGCTCTGATTGAAGTCCAGTACACCTTTCAGGCCCACCACCACACGCTAAAGGCAACAGAGTCGGTTGTAATGAAGGTGTGTGTGTGTGTGTGTGTGTGTGTGTGTGTGTGTGTGTGTGTGGGTGGAGCTTGTAGTGTTACACAAATATACGTGTACAGTGTGAGTGCAGGAGAGAGAGTGTGTGTCTGAGTCTTACATGTTCCAGAACAGAGGTGTTTATCTCCACTCTACTGTGTGTGTGTTTGTACCCTTGGGAGTCACAATGCTGCATAATGTTGTGGTAAAAACGAGGCCTTGTCGTTTGCAAAACATTTTTCAGCTTGTTGCTTTTCAGCTTAGCAGCTGGTTCACAGACATACGGTGTATATCTTCCCTCAGATCTTCCAACATAACAACAGCACTTGTAGTTTTGTTGTAAAATAAATGTATGAAATGCCTGCCTTTGTTTTTATTGGTTATTATTTGCTGTCTTTGACTCCTACCATCCCATCCACCTACAGTCACCATAACTTCATCACTGTTACATGAAGCCTGACACAAAGGCAGATGTTTGCGTGGATGTGTGTGTATATGTATCACAATATTTCATCATGTTTTTTTCCAGGTTGCATATTTTTAGCATGTACTTGCAGAAGTAATAAAACACTAACACAGAAAGTTTGTGAAAGAGGAAAACTTGCAGTATAATGGCATTTATTCCACAGACACTGATCAGCTTGTACATCTCAAAGGATGCAAATGGTTTTCTGTTACTTCATTAAATCACCTGAAAAAAATCAGCTAGACTAAAATAGATACTAAACAAGGGTGATACACAGATTCTGTAACATGGACCAAACTAAACTACGATGGATTTGATATAAGTAATTTACAGCAGTTTCAGGTTGGCTACAACTATTATACATGTACTTAAAGCTCAACCTGGGAACCTGACAATGGTAGGTTGTGTGGCAGTGATTCAACTCCGTTACCGCCTATCAATATCTGGTCATCAATATGTTTTACACTGTTGGCCTAACCGTTTTCGGCCGAACCCTGATCTTGCGGGTCTCCACCGCGGGCTGGAGGCCGGGACACGGGGAGGAGACTCCGGATACGGGGTGGTACAATGCTGCGAGGTCCTCCCGCAGTCGGAGGACGCACAAGAGCAGAGGACAGTCGGAGCAAACTGAATCAAGGTTGGTAAGATACTGAGAATGGTCTTAGCATAGCTGTTTAACACCTTGGTTAAGTTGTACCTGCATTTTTGTTGATGTTTGTGGGATCAGGTAGGTTAAGCTACAAGACTTAAATAGAACTGTGTTTGTGATGAGGGTTATGGAAGAAACATTATGAGATGATTGTGCACAGATTGTAACCCAAGTTCACGTTTAAAGGACATAAATTAAGTACCCCAGGCGTTTATTAGTTCACTTAATGTAGGCGGAAAATTTGTGGCTAATTTGCTTGAAAGTCAGTGTCTGCTGGGAGCTGAAGGGACTACAATAGAAAGAGGGTGCCAAGAAGGAAAGCTACCCCAAAATAATAATAATAACTAAAAAACAAAGGAAATAATTTGGTTGTTTCCAGACGATGGAGGTCGATGAGAGTACTTTTTGAATTTTTTATTTCTTTTCCATTGTTGCATTGAAAAAGCTATAAAATAGATAACAGCAGTATAACCTCTTCTTGTTGTCCTCACAGGCTGTGTGTGTGTGTGTGTGTGTGGGTGAAGGGTGGGGATGGAGGGGATAAGGGGTCTCTAACTGGGAAAGGAAGGACTCATTGGGGAGAGGGGAGCTAATCGTTCCCAGATGTGTGCTGTGAAAACATATGGTTTCCCATAGCCATAGTGATGCACAAGAAGAATGTGTGTGTGCGCGCGCTAGTACTCTCTCTCTCTCTCTCTCTCTCTCTCTCTCTCTCTCACACACACACACAGATTTATTCATACACGTGCAGAATTCATGCAAACACTGTTCCTATCATGCGTTGTGTCCAGTGTGGCCTCACAAAAATCCTCATGCAGTTGCACAGAGAAAACTGAAAGGTCCACAGTGTAGAGTGAGGAAAAAGCACAAATGAACTGTTCATGTTGCGTATATGAAGTAGTCTGCAGTGCTGCAGCAGAAGAGCATTTATCATTTCCACAGGGTGGAAAAGTAGTTTGCTCAACACTGCAGGAAAGAAAGTAAGGTACAGTTTTTACTGTATGTAGCTCTTTCACAGTGTTTCATTGACAACATCAGAAAAAGTGACGACCTGGTTTTCAGCTCTTGATGTCGTCAGTGTTCATGCTTTTCTGTCCACATGTCATTTTGACTCAACCTGAGAGGCTCTTTTGCATAGAGGAGTGAAGAAGAAAGAAAAGGGGCAAAGAAGAGGGGGAAGAGTTTGAGGAAATGACCAGTGAAAGTGACAGTAGGGAAATGAAGCCTGTGGAGATAGGCAGAGAGAGGGATGAAGAAAACTCAGAAAGTGGGGTGGGGTGGGGTTGAGGGGTCCTCTGTTTCTTTTCTTGGAATGCAGCCTCGAGACTGTCTGCCTCAGCGAGGAGAAGTAGGAAAACAGAGCAATTGTTCTTAGGAAGAAAGACGTGCCACATTCTTGCTGTTAGTTCCCTCCCCCCTCTTTTTCTTGCCATGGCTGTTTGGGGCCAGTGGAGCTGGGGAGGAGGAAGAGGGGTGACAGAGCGCAGAGGGAGGGGAAGAGCAGTGGGTCTTGAAAGGGTGATGGAGGGCAGGGGAAAGAGGAGATAAGAGTTGTATCCAGCACCAAGAAGTTCATCCCCTCATGTTGTTCTGTTCCGATTGTTCACGCTCTCCTCATCTCCCCTCCAGTGTTAAGCCAGTCTGCCTTCCAGAGTGACCATGAGAGGCCTCCTCCTCATCTGCATGCCAGGTAACTGCACTGTATTCAAGATCAAAGATTTGTATTGTCAATTCACTATATGTGTAGGACATACAGAAAATCGAAATACCGTTTCTCTCTCGCCTAGTATTGAATGCCATACCATTTAGGAAACTAAAATAGAATAAAAGTAGAGTAAAAATAGAATAAAAAAGAATCAAAGTCAAAGTGATTAGGATAAAACTAAACAGTACAACCTAATAGGCTATGACACAAACCATGTACAATCAGTGACAGTAGTGCAAATAATAAGGAGATTGTCAGATGGTTGTGAGATTGAGATGCACATGGACAGTAGTAAAAATGACCAACAGCAGCAGATACGACGGTAAAAGCAGTCACAACAAGAAGGGGGAATGTAGTGGGTTTGTGCAAAACAGCAGAGGTAGTCTTTTTATGTTCTGTGGTGGGTTACAGACCAGGGGCAGAGGGGGAGCGGTAATGGACAGTATTCAGAGTCCTTGTGGTGACTCATTCTCTGCCCCTGCACTTCACTCATCTCCTCTTCTCTGTGATTTCTTTATTTGTCTAAAATGTCAACAGTTGTGCTGTTTGTCCAGGCCCAGCAAACGCAACCGCCTTCATATTTGGGTGAGTTCATGATTCCAGCTCAGCATCAGGTTTATATCAGACCTCTCGGGGGGGGGGGGTTCATTCCATGTCCAGAAAACAGTTTCTTCAGGAGAATGCTTAAGACAGAGCTATGAGTTGTTAGTAGTACATGCATAACATACAAATTAGTAGCACCAACACAGTCAAAGAGGTATTTTTCAAAAGGTGTATTTATTTGCTTTGCCTTTAATTACATCTCTGTTTACAGTAGTATTTCAATCATGATAGCTTCATAAAATTCTGGTAAATCTGCTGAATTCTCCTCCTGTTAAGAGTCATGTTTTCATTTGTAAACCCATTTTCCATGTGCATATCAGATTTCGAATTGGAGGCAGAACCCACAGAGCCTGGCCCTCTGGGTAAGGAAGCCACAGAGATTAGGACAGATAATTAGTTCCTTATTTTGAGTGGAGTAATGACTTTTCTGGGTGTTTGATTTTCAGATTGCAGAGAGGAGCAGTATCCCTGCACCAGACTCTACTCTGTTCACAAGCCGTGCAAGCAGTGCCTCAATAACCTCTGCTTCTACAGGTAAATGAGCAGCGCACCCCAAAGTTAACACCCAGTCATTATCTCTTTTGTCTGTCAATCAAAAAGTCTCTGACGTTTGTAGGACAAATACACTTATAAGGTTAGGGCAAGGATTTTTCCTGTTATCAATGTTTGTTTGTCTGTTTTTCAGTACTTCCCAACATCCCCATGTTGTCCTCCCACACTCCACCATGCCATTTCATTCTTACAGGAGACGTAAATCTTTAAAACGGGTTCTAAATATATAGTTTATATCATAAATGCTAATGTTACTGAAACACGTAAATTGTACATTTGTTGGGGGACAGTATCCAGCTGTGGATTAGTACACATTTGGTGCTCTGCAAAGTATCTACAGCAGCAGGACTCTGTGCATGTCACAAATAATGATTTGGCTACACAGAAAACACTTGTTAGAAGGTTTAGTTTATTGTTCATCTTAATCGTTTCATGGGACATGCTGGCAATATAAAAACGATGCATTTTAGGGTGAACTACTCCTTTAACATCACCGGCACCTCACACGTGACCCCTACATGTTTTCATTCAGTTTGCGACGGGTGTACGTCATCAACAAGGAGATCTGCATGAGAACTGTGTGCGCACATGAAGAGCTGCTCAGAGGTGGGTTCGACCTACCGTGTGTATTTGTATGTTTCTATATGGAGACTTGTTTTTAAACTGTGACTCCTCTCTGTCTGTGTTTAGCCGACCTGTGTCGTGATCAGTTCTCTCACTGCGGTGTGGCGGCGCTGAGCGGACAGTGCGCATCACTAGGAGGAAGCTGTGGGAAGAGCTGTGGTGCCTGCTGAGTGAGCACTGAGATCCTGCTACTTTTCTACAACTCGTCCACAGCCTTACTTTGTCCTCCTTCTCCCTGTCTCCTCTCACTCTTCCTGTGCAACACATTACTCTTGTGCAAAAGGCACTGCATTTGAAGATTTTTGTCTTTTCTGTGTATATGTATACTCCAAAGAACATTGATGATTGTATGAACCACTGGTGCTATAAAATCATCACACTGGTGCTATAAAAAGTTAACTTTTAGAGATGCACATAAAACTGCAGAACATCTTTTTCTTAAATTTTGGCATATTGTTTCATATTAATCTCGTGCTTTGTGTCTCTTGATATGTTACTGCGCTTGTGTTGAAAAGCAGTCATGGTCGCGATGATGAAATCATCAGTGGTGGCTACTGTGCACCAACATCAGACAAAACTATTCAATATCCAGCTGTCAGCGGTCTCATCGGTGATGATCAAGAGACGTATGAAGAAAACAGGTGCCGAGAGACCTCAGGTTTTTGTACTGCTGCCACCTGGACCTGGGCTTAACAACCGAGCAGCAAGCTTAAATATGATCCAGTGGCAACGAATGCTCTGAAACGGCATCTCGCAAACAGCCTCTGTACTACTGCTTTGGAAAACTGTCACTATAAAGACTGAGAAAAAAAATAAGCTTTTTTTTTTACTACAGCTGTTCAGTGTGTGAGTAAGACATGACGCATCGCTGTAAGGTTATATGCGGCTGCAGCTCGGTGTGCTTGGTTTTTATAAGAATTACGACGCACACTGAATTTGTTTGCAAACATGTGGCTTCCATTGTACTGTCTTCAGCCTTTATACTGTAAGTCAAATGTATGGACACCTAATAAAACTAGTAATAACTAATAAAAAATATATTGTTAAGTACACCATCATACTGCAGCACTTACATGTTTATGGTTCTTTTTCCAGTGAAAACTGTTTGTTCACAGTACAATCTGTGTCTGGTTCTGAGAAAATACAGTGCAGCTCCTTCACTCTGCTGGGTTCATGTGTTTCCTGGCAGCTGCACACAGTGACAACAACAGTACAGGAGAGAAGAAAAAGGACTTCTTTCTACTGTTAATATACTGTAATTGTGTAGGGATCAAGGCCAAACTGCAAAACAGTTGGACTTCGTTCCTGCACCCCATCCAGATTCTGTCTGGAGAAGAATCCTGTGGTGATTTGGGTTTCTACTTGAATAAGAGCAGGAAGTTGGGGAAGTGCAGATGACTGCCAGTACGCTGCAGGATGCTGGCGTCTCAGTGCAGCTGGTGAATCATCAGTCATGGCTGCATTCCCTCACCTGCTGTGTTTGTGCCACAGGTTGAGCTAAGTGTTCTTCACTGTACATGTAGTGTTCATTTCATTGTCAGAAAGTAAAACAAATCATAAGAAAACCTTTAGGTTTCTGCAGATAAATATTGCTTTCAGACATTTGTGATGAGTAGACTTTCCCTGCATCTGATGTGCTGGTGCTTCTGCATTTAAGCTGCGTCTCAGTTTCCTGGCGACAATAAGGATGAAGGAAGAGAAGGTTGCCGCCGTTTCATCTCCTGCTGCAGCTGCTCCTTCAGGGTGGACACCTACAGTAAAACAGTGGTTGACACAACTCAGTTTTACACTTAGATCACATGATTACAAATTGATGTCATAAGGTTGTGGCTGCAGATAACAGAGGAGCAGGTGGTTGTGTCTTTGTGTTGCCAAATGTATAGGTGTGTGTGAGCATCAATACGTCAAACGTTCAAACTCACACGTCTCTTAAAGGGGATGTGAGGTTGCACACTGATTGGATAACTGCATGCTATGCCCAAAACACGCCCCTGATTTAATGAGGAAATAAAGTACAGACCTTTTGCTACTTGCACGGGCGCTTGAACCATTTTTCCTCATTGTCAAATTATCGAAATGGACATGAACGCACCCAAACGCCACTTGCACCAATATATCGTGATCAGACTCTGTGGATCCTCAAAATAGGGCCCCATGTGTCTACCTGCTCTTCCAGGCCTTTGACCCGGTGACGGTGAGCTCGATCTCTTGTTCCCAGAGTTCGCTCAATGTCCCTGAAGCTGGTCCTCAGTCTCTCCGCCTCTCGCTGGGCCTCGTCACGATGCCTCACCAGACTCTCACAAACACTGTGTGATTGCTCCATCTCAGCCAGCTGAGTCTGGTCATGAAACACACACACACAAGAAAAAAAAAGAGCAAAATGTGATCAAGAGGACAAGAAAGTCTGGCAGGATAACAGGTCCTACAACAGATCACAAAGAAAAGTCTAAACAAAAGAGAGAGTTTGGCCGGAAATAAAATGCAGTTCTTCATAATGGACTCCAGGCTCTTCAGTCCCCTCGCTCTGCATGAGCTCTCATCTCTAGCAGGTGTGAAGCAGCAGCTCTTTGGTACAACATATCTTGGCCTTTATTCTGTATAGTGTGTTGCAATGAAGGCTGTGAATCTGTAGGTGTGATGTGGACCAACTGGCTGCTCCCCACCTGCAGCATCAGTATCTGTTGCTGTGCTTCCTGCAGCTCCTGCTCAGCGGTGTTCAGAGAGCGATCCAAGCGGCTTTTCTCCGCAGACAGCCGCATGCTGCCTTCTTCGGTCTTCAGCTTCTGACGTTCAACCTAACATCATATGTATTTATAAAGATATAACCAACAGAAAGTGTGTGACACTGTAATGGAATTTCTTTGAGTGTACTCTAAAAGATGTCATGCACATCACTGATGAAACAGACTTCTGAATGTTTTTAATGACAAAAGCCTCTTTGTAAAGGCAGTGCTGACCTTATCCAGAGTGCTCCTCAGTGCATTCTTGTCTTTCTCCAGCCTCACAGCTTGTCTCTCAGCATCTTTTTTCTCCGTCTCTAGCGTGGCGACCGCTCGTTGCAGCCCACGCAGTCGCTCCTCTGCCGTGGCCCGCTCTGCCTGAGCCGCCTGGGCTCTGCACTGAGCCTCCGCCAGTGCAGCCGAACGCTGACGCAGAGCCTGACAGAAGGAAGACACAGGTTATGCACGAGGATGTCAGGCTAGAGGCTTCAGTGCAGTGAAGTACACTTCAAGTAGTAATGGAGTAGTTACACTTCTGAAAAGCCTTCAGGGAGGAGGTACTTTGCTAAAGACTACAGTATCTGGGGAGATATTTGTCTGAGCTGATCTACACCTCTTGAGTGTTGCTGAGCTCAACCTCCAGCTCCTCTCGTCTCAGCTCCTTCCGGTTCAGCTCGCTCTGCAGGCTTTCCACACGCTCACTGAGTGCGGCCATGTTTCTCCTCGCTTCAGCTAATGACACCTGATCTTCATCCTTTCGTTCCTTGGTGACAGATTGATCATCAAATAAGTATGCAGTTTTCATCCACATGGTTTGAGGCCTTTGTCTCCTTGTGTCACTCACCTGTAGAAGTCTTTTGTCCTGTTCAACCGCACTCAGCGTCTTCTGCAGTACAGCCAGTCGAGCCTGTGCGCTGCTGTGAGTGGCCGACGCCTCCTGGAGGCTCTGGTTGAGGGAGGTAGTCTTCTCTTTGAGTAACAATTCACCTTCCTGAGCCTTGAGCAGAGCCTGGCTCAGTCTCTCCACCTCTGTTTGGAGCAGAGACACATGTGCTTCTCCTTCTGCAACCTGCAGTTTGTAGAAATAAAATGAAAGTTACATTCAGGCAGCAAACCAATTATAAGAAAGTTATATAGTTTCTTGTGGTAAGAGGAGGTTTTAGGAACTGTTTCCACTGTGTCTTTGGTAAAATGTAACTCAGCGACAAAGGATGCCGCTACAAAGTGCTACTTGTGTTACACATTAATAAAATCACAAATGGTGCAATTCAGGCCAAAATAGTCAGATTAAGAGCACAGACATATGAAAGCAGCCTGTTGTACCTGTTTGACTAGTGAGTCCTGGCGATCCTGGGAGGCCTGGTTCTCAGCTTCCCGGTCTCCCAGACTCAGTTTGAGTCTCTGCAGTTGCCCCTCCAGACTGCGCCTCCCCAGCTCTACCCTGGTGGCTCTGGTTTCAGCTGCCTCCAGCGCCTCCCGCAGACGCTTCCTCTCCGCCTCCAGACGCATCTCAGCAGCACGCTGGTTATTCAACTGATCCTGCAGAGATGGGGGGGGGGTAAAGACAATCAAAAACAGCGTCACCAAGAGGCCAAGCAAACATTAAGCACACACAGATGATCCACAGCTGCAACTGAGCTCCCAAATTCTCCACAGCTTTTTAAAAACACTTCATGGTCTAAAAATGTCTTCATCCAACAGATATAAATTTCTGTTTCACACACACACACCCATACAGTTTTCTCTGTCTGTGCTGTGAGCTGCTTTCCTCACTAAGAGCTTTGACTTTGTGTCCCTGCTGTAGTGCAGAAGGTGAATTATTTGGAAAGCTGCTGGCAGTAACAACAGACATATGGAAACCTGACATGGGACACCGCAAGTCATGTATCACTGTGTGTTCATCTGTTGTTGTTGTTACACTCCCTGACAGTGTTTGCTTCTAGTTATTACTCCAGTGTTGAGTACTGCCATATGGTGATCATGGCAGCTCAGTGGTCAGTGCATGGTGTTGACGTACATGAACACAGAGCACAAACGTGTGTGTACCTGTGTGTGCTTTTTATCCGTCTCAGAGGTCTGCAGTGCCCGTTCTAAATCCTTCACCTTGTCGGTGAGAGCTCTCCTCTCTCTGTCTGCCCTCCTCACCATCTCCTCCTGTTGCTGGAGGAAAATCTGAATCGTGGTCAGACGCTCGTCCAGAGCACGTCGGCCTAAAAATCACACACATTAAAAGAGATCAATGCAAGACAAAATACAGTAGCTACAGTAGTTTTATTTGCAGTTCAGTTTCAAGTATCGATGTTATTTACTTGTTTTTTATTTATCTCTCTAGGTGTCTTTCTGGGTGGGGTTTTTTTGTCATTTATGTGTGACTTGGATGACGTAATGCTACATTTTCCTACCAGGATTTATCAAGTACGCTATCTATCTGCCTATATGAACAGACAGCTGAAGAGCAAATATTCTGCCTCTTGTATATAAGTGGGATTTATCAAGTACGCTATCTATCTGTCTATATGAACAGACAGCTGAAAAGCAAATATTCTGCCTCTTGTATATAAGGACAAACTACACGGACAAATAACAAAGATGTTTGACCTTCTTGGTGTTCCTGTAGGGTGTTCTGTAGCTGAGTGAGACGACTCTGACCACAGTCTCTTTCCAGCGTCAACTCCTCCACCTCCCGCTTCATGGCCTCCAGCTGGCATCGAGCATCATCCTTCAAAATCAGCATACAAGCAAAAATGATTCTTCGACTGGTTTGAATATTGACTTTGTGAGGTTTTTTTGTTTGTTTTTTGCTGTACAGCTCTTTTACCCGCTCTCTCTGTGCGTCACGTAGCTCCTGCAGGAATTCTCTAAGGCTGCTTCGCAGCATCTCAGGCTCCAGCTCTGGCTGAAGGAGAGGGAGCGGTGTGTTTCCTCTATCAGGAGACACAGCCCCTGAACCTGAAGTATTGTCGGGGGTGCTTCCTCGAAATTCTGTACAAATGACATAAAGAGTTGCAATCACCCTGTTATTTATTCTAGAAGCTCTAAAGGATGGGAGGAGGGATGAGAGTATGCAAAGCCACTCACAGACAGAGCCATATTTTATTGGAGTAGTCTGGCATATTTCTCAAAGACTTTATGAAGCAACTACAGAGGATATTCTTAAAGATTTGCTTGAGAAATTAATATGCAAAGTATTATATCACTTTCTTTGCAGTATCCAAGTATTTACAATACAAAGGTAAATGTGCCAAAAACTGGATGAGCATTCCCATGGAAGCTCAGTATTCAAGTTAAATGATGTTTAACCATTATTCGGTCCCAGAGAGAGGGGATATCAGGCCATGCCATCATGAAACTGCAGGATTCCACAATAACACCATTTTTATCTGACCTAAAAGGCACATGCAGGTTTACTGATTTCATACACTATTCTCCAAACTTAACCTACTGTATCATACCACGTACATATGAGGAAGTCCCTCCACTCTGACCTTACTACAAAGCGTCCTTGAATCCTTTCCTCACCCAAGCAAAGAGCAGATATAATATCTGTATTGTATTTGCTCAGTTTATACAGTGGCTGGACAATCTGGTTTGGAAGACAATCATTGTCCAACCACCATCACTGTCCTTCCAAAGCTGTCAATCAACAGAAACCTACACCAGTAATGATCCCTCTGAAACAAAAACTGTATTATCAGAAACACCAATATAAAATGTGATCTTTTTATTTTACTCGGCAGTTCTTGTATTTAATGTTTTATATGTGCCTTCAGTGTCATTTTACTGTGTTAGGTACAGTGGTGATATTGTAACTACATTGGTTTTATTCTTGTAGCATTATTTTTACTTTGTTTTGTGCTCTATACAGTAAATAGACTTCATTATTACCATGTAAGTGTAACTGCTCTCTACAGACACACAACACTTTATCCACCATTCATTTCTGTTCCTTCAAGTGCAGTTTACTGCAACTTCGTTATCATTACATTATTTGTTACTTGTTTCTCAATACATTTTTGTGATCCCTATTTATACAATGTGTATATAGTATACGGTCTATTTGTATTGTTCCTGACTCATAGATGCTAATAATGATAAGTTACTTATCTATACAACACATAAGTTAATGTACTTCCTTTTGCTGCATAGGCTCAATAAAGTTTATATTATTTACTTACTATATGTAGCGTAAGGGTAAACATTTGTTCATTATACTGTATTTTATACAATAACACATCTGTCAACAAACTGTAAACCAAAGTGTCATCACATTCATAGTTTCTATTATATATTTAATGGCTGAAGCCTATGTTTCAGATGTTTCATTCATACCTTTAGGAGGTGACAATGAGGAGCGCAGGGGTGAGATGCTGTGGTGGCGCGACATGGTGCCAGGGGGGGCGGAGCTCCCCCCAGGACTCCTCCCCCTACCTCCTCTGCCACTAGCTCCGATGCCCAGCGTTCGCGTCAGTGCCGATTGAAGGCTGCTCAGACGTAACTCCAGCTCCCTCCTCCCGGCCTCGGCCCGGGTCAGCTCCGCCTCTGTAGCAGCCAGTCGACCCTGAGCCTCGCTCAGCTGCAGGCTGGCCTGACCTGCAGAGTCCTGAGCCGCTTGAGCACGCAGCATCAAGTTCTTGGCTTCGTCTTGCAACTTCTTCTCGCAGCCACGCGCCTCCTGAAGCTGAGCGGTCAGTTCTCTCTCGCAGCCACGCCAGCTGGACTCAGACTCCACCAGGCGCTTTTGAATCAGGGAACGCTACAGTGAAAAATAAAAAAGATCACAACACAATAAACACAGTGAGTGTGACAAGAGCATGTGAATCTCTTTTCACCTTCGTCTATCCTCACCTCCTTCTTGAGGGAGTCTCGAGCTGTTTCAGCTTCAGTTAACTTCTGTTTGAGGGCAAAAACCTCTAAACCTCTCTCCTCCTCTCTTTGCTCCTCCAGCGACAGGCGAGTCTGCAGCTCTGCCACCTCCCTCCCTTTCTGCTCCTTTTCTCCATCCAGAACCTTCAGCTGGAGCCAAGAAAAGCAAAACATCTCAGCACTACCACTCTACCAAGAAAAACCTTATTGCGGTTTATTTACTACTGGCTAAATGTGGAGTCTAAACTGAAAACCAACGTTCTGAAGCATAGTGTTGAAGGATGTGATCCCGAGCTCCTGTTCTACATGTCACAGAGGTGTGTGGGAGAGGTGACAGCATGTCTGACCTGTCTGCGCAGCTCCTGCACCTCTCGCCGAGCTTCGAGTCGTGACCTCTCAACTTCTCTCAGGCAGCTCCGCAGCTCTGTCACCTCCTTCTGAGCAGATGATAAGTTCTCCTTCAGCACAACCAGCCTCTGCTGCTTCTCTTCACACTGTCGTTTCACACTGACAAACCCACCACACACATCTTACATGCTGCTCTTAACATACCTGCATTTCTTAATTCTGTCTGAGGGTCAGTCCCGTTAAGTCAGCTGGTTACCTGATTCTCTCTGTTTCTGTGCTTTGTAGTGTTTCTCTTATCTGGGTGTTTGATTGGCTGAGAGCGTCCCTCTCCTTAGTGACATCACCAAGGTTGCGTCGCAGCTCTGTGCCTTCTCTTCTGTAGTTCTCTGCTACGTCCTGAGTTTGGCTGAGACGGCGTTCAAGGTCCAGTATGTCCCGTCTCAGTTGGTCTCTGCTCTCCTCGGCGACTGAGAGAGAAGCTCTGCACTGGTCCAACTGTGGGGTAAAACTCATGCGTGTCACAAAATGATGCAACTGAACAGAATCAGACAGAATGTCCTCTTGGTACAGGATCATCTACCTCTTTGAAAGCAACATCAGCACGTGACTGAAGGTCAGTACAAGTCTCTCGTAGACTGTGGAGTTCCCGTTCATGAACAGAAGCTGCATCCTCCAGCTGAGAGCGAAGCCCCAGCAGCTCCGTGGTCAGAGCGCCAACTCGGACCTGGGGAAAACAAAGGAGACAATTTAGCTCATCTTCCTTGTGTGAGATAAGACTGAAGCTAATTGAACAACAACAACACCATTGATAGAGGAGATTCTATCACCTGCTCCTGCTCCTTGTAATGAGCGAGCTCTCTGGACATCCTCTCGGCCTCTGCTGCTGCAGCTGACAGCTCAGCCTGCAGACTAGACACCCTGTCAGCCAAAACAGTTTTCTCTGCCTCCTTCAGAGAAAGGGCCTGGGAAGAGCAAAAAGGTCTGGTTAACACATAGGTGAAGCTCAGCACAGATGTACCAGAGCTGACCCACACTGTATCTAATGAAATAACATGATGGCAAGGCTGGACAAAATGGCTAAAACCACTATCAATTAACTGTACCCTCTTTTAAAAAATATGCCTGTTTTCATCATTGTATGTGGTGACACTGTCTACTGTGATATTAGGATTTTACTTTATGAAGCTAAATGGTAAACGCTTGCTTCTCTACAACACCGCACGCCCTCAGTCTTGGACTCAGACCAGACCTGTTGTTTTTCAGTCTCAGCCTGCAGCAGACTCTGATCCCTGTCATGCTGGAGGCTCCTCAGTTCATCCTGCAACTCCTCTCTTTCTCTCTGCACTCTATGGAGCTGATCCTCCATCTGCTGCCTGAGCTTCCTCAGAGCGACCTCCTGCTCCATGAGCAGGCTGTGCCGCATGACTTCCTGTGAAACAGAGTAGCCAAGAGCACAAACAGGAAATAGAGTCATTGGAATCAGAATCAACAACCTTATTCCAGAAGCAAAGGGGTAAACATTAGATTCCAGTGCTCAGGTACAGGTGGGGCAGTTGCATTGAAAGTACATTGACTGCACAGGAGTCAGATTCCTTGTGTGTTCAACATACTTGGCAACTAAAGCTAAAACAAATAGCATTTTAAATAAAAACACCTTTTCTGAGAGGAGTCGCTCCACCTCTTCCTGATGTTCGGAGATGGCCTTGCGTAAAGCCTGCTGGGCCTCCAGCTGTGCAGTATTTAGAGCCTGAGTCAGAGCCTCTTTCTCTCTCTCAGCCTGAGCCAACGCGTTCTCCCCATCCGAACGTACACGCCTTAGTTCAGCTGGAAATCCCATTCGGAAAAACAAAACTTAACCATTAGGTTCTTATTCTGTCATAGCACTGACCCACTGTCTTTGTCATTATGCCAAATATCTTTGGTTTAGTGAGTCTTTCTTCTGCTTTATTTACCCAATCCTCTCCTCAAAACCCTCTGTGCCTTTTACATGATTTCCTCCACCACCACCTTGTCACTCACCTGCAACAGTCTCACAGCGGACTCGAAGGCTTTGGTTCTCTGTCTCCAGCTGCTCTCTGCGAGACTCCGCCTGGACGAGCTGCTGCTGCACCTCGAACAAACTGGTTTCCAGTGACTCTCGTTCTGACCTGCAGGGTTTTGAACACAAGTTACACACACAGACACACATGAAACTTACATGTCACTGACAAACAACGGCGCACACCTGAAAGCAGCCAGTTCTTCTGACAGCATTGCATTGTCTCTCTCAGATGCCGTCAGCTGGACCACTAGAGCTGCTTTGTCTCGGGCCAGTTCTGCTCGACTGCGGCCGGCCTCCTCTAAGGCCACCTCATTCCTCTGACCCTCTCCTCTGGCAAGACTTAACTCTGATCCCAGAGAGGTCACCTCACCACAGAGCTGTCAACACAGACGACAACCTGTCAGGCATGCGTGTGTATTCATACAGGTATATGTATGTGTGTGTGTGACTTAATAAACAATATATGCTGATTAATGCAATGTGCACCACCCATAGGTGCTGCTAAAGTGCTTTTAGATTGGACTTAAATGATGAATTAGTATGTGAGCATATGCACCTGGGCAACTTTCTCCTGCAGCTGAAGCCTCTCAGCCCGGAGGGTTTGGAGCTCCGCCTCCATTCCCACCCGGCTTAGTTCAGCATCCTGCAGCGCCTGGTGCAAAGTGATGCGGGCAGAGTCCAGCTCCAGCCTGTCCTGCTCCAACCGGACCAGCTCATCTCTGATGGTCAATTTTTCTTGCTCTGCCTCCCGTTTCTGAGCCTGCAGGAGAGCCTTCTCTTCCTCCAGCTTAAAGACAGGGGTAAGGGTGAGACTCAGAAAGGAGTCTGCTGTGGGATCCTATTTTCTCAATGACTGATGGTGTCCTACATTAACACAAATTTCCTTCCATAGTTGGAGTGTTTTTGGTTGTTAACATGACAAATTTCTCAGTTTTTTTTGTCCTTCCTTTGTTACATAGGTGGAAAAAAGTGATTCCACATTTTTCTATGCACCTTCTGCTTGAGATTCGGTCTGCTTTGGACGTGTCTGCCTTTCTCTCACTTTTGAGAACATATTTCTTCAGGCAGGTGTTTATAACTAGGACATCTGTTTGTCTGTCCTGTTTTATGCTTTTATGCATAAGAGAATAAAAACGTGAAACAAAAACTAACAAAAAAATGATTTCTTCGAGCATGATGCAGTGGGAAGTGTGATACAGCTGGAGGGGGCTAGACAGTAAATACAACCTTGCTTGTTTCAAATACATTCCTGAAAGGCCCTTACCTGGAGGATGTAGGTGTTAAGGTCGACCTTGTCCCAGGCCAAGCCTTCATTCATGCCACCCATTTTGGCCAGGGAGTCTCTGAGCGCTGCGTCCTCAGACTGCAGCTTGTTAAGCAGCAGAGAGAGCTCTGCATTACTGCTCTCAGCCTGGAAGGACAACAAAAGTCACACAAGGGTCGCTGACAACATGAGAACCCCAAAACACAGAAAGGCAAGTCAATAAACATTAAGTAAGTTGGCTTCTTCTTACCCGAGCAAGTGCTTCTGAGAGTTGGGCTTTCTCTTGCTCAAGAAGCTGCCTCTCAACCTCCCCCTGCTGGTGCGTCTCCCTCATTGCAGACAACTCTGTACGCTGAACAGAGGCTCGACTCTCACTCTGATCCAACTGCTTCTGTCTGGAGCAAAACAATACATAGGCAGTACTATTACAATATGTTTCAGCCGTCTGACAAATGAACAGTCAGGGCAGCTCTGCTAGTGCTTAGACACATCAGAGCTGTTCATTGTTGTTTGGGCTTGTGTTAGTGAAGCAGGTCAGAGTTTGTAGATGAAGAGGCAGAGCTTTCTGTTTTCAAAGCAAATACGGACCTTTTGAATGGCTCCCTGGGAGCATATGTGCTGGCTGCACTAGACTTTGAGGATTAGTGTCCACATTGCATTCTTAATCACTACCAAATTACCCTACTTACATCCTCTGAGCCTCTGCCTTGGCTCGGTCTCTCTCCTGAACGGCGGCCTCTTTCTCTTCCCTCTCATGATCTCGCTCTCGCTGTGTGGCTGCCACAGTCAGCTGTAGCTTCTCACAGTCCATCTGTAGGGCCTGTTTGCTGCCCTGCACTGCCTGTACAGTCTTCTCCAAGCTCACCTTCTCACTGCAACATTAATGATGTGTGAAAGAGAACAAAGTTATAGTTTCACAACCTACAGGATTCAAGGATTAGAAGCAGACGGTAAAAGGTGATGTAACTGTCAGTAAACCTGGCCAGTGTGTCTCTCTCCTGCCTCAGACGGTCCCTTTCCCTCTGTGTGGTCTCCCTGTTTCTCTGAGCTGCATCCCTCTCTCTCTGCAAAGCTTGGTTTCGCTGTTCTGTATCTCTTTTAGATGAATCTGCTTCCGAAAGCTGCTTTCGTAACTGTTGCAGTGAGGACTGGGCAGAGAGCAGACGCCCCCGAACATCCTGCAAAAAACAACAAGACAGTGGAGGAAATTACATGTTATATGTCAATATTAATAACAAAGACAACGGCTCTAAGCTGTGGGGTGCCTGCATAATTTAGTGGTTATGATAAAGACCATGAATCATCATCATCATCATCATCACACGAAATGCGTGGATGTCACCCCCTAACTTCTACCTTAAATTAATTAAAGATCTACTGCAATTTTGTATTCAGCTTCTTCCAGTTTAAATTCTAGCTGGACATAAATTAAAGATAATTGTTGTACATCCATTTTAGCATGATATCTGCCTGTGTGTGTGGTCCTTTATCATATAGAGGGGGTTGAAACATGTCACCTGCAGCTGGAGCATTTTGTTTGTGACTGCGGAGCGGACAGCAGACAGCACTCCCTCTGGGACAGGAGACAATGAGGAGAGTTGAGAGGGGGAAGAGGAGCGGTGAGGGGAAGGGCCACGCATCAAAGCCAACAGTGGAGCCCCGCTGTTGTCCTGCTCTGCCTCTGACAATGGCTCTCCATCTGACAAAACCATCTATAAAATCAAATTAAGATGAGGCACTCCCATTTTACTGATAGAAAATTGTGTGCTGATGTGTGTAGTTTCTCACCTGAGTGACCTCCCGCAGTGTGTTTAACAGTGTTTCTGTGTGAGCTTTCATCATCTGCATGTCAGTTGCATCATTGCCACTCTGCTCCTGTAGGAAAACACAGCACTTGTGAGATCTCAGTGGCCTACCAGAGGAACATTAATGCAAGTGACCAGGTACACAGCTTGTGTAACTGGCCTCTCACCTCAAGCCTCCTTGTCAGTACAACAATCTCTCTTTCTTGTTCTTCAATTTGGCCTTTTAGTCTCTCCCCTTCTCGCACAGAATCTGACAACCTATTGACACAATGATAAGTGTTAAAAATCTTTTTACAACTCATCTAACAATAGCTCTGTAAGAGCAAGCACCGACCTGATGTTGAGCTCACTTCTCTCTGTGTCTGTTCTGGTCTGAAGATTCATCATCTCTGCCACTCGTTCCCTCAGCTGCTGCTCCAGCTGAACCCTCAGAGCCTTCTCTCGCTCCAGAGCCAGAGCCACTCCTCCCTCGCGGTTATGCAGATTGGCTGACAGACCTGCACAGGACACCTGAGCAGAGTGGCACACCCGAGCCAGCTCATTACGCGTGTCCGACAAGTCCCTGAGATCGCAGAGTAATGGGGAAAGCACAAAATGTGAATGTGCACTCTCTAAAAAGCAAACATGATGCAGTTCACAGATGGTTAATCTTAACCTTTCAGTGGCGCTCTTCAGCTCACAGACGTGCCTCCTGAACCCAACCACTTGGCGCCACAGTGTCAGCAGACGACTGTGCTCACTGCTGAAGTAACTGTTGAAAGACTGAAATGAAGGATAAAGTGAAAATAACAAGCAAACCATCATAACTTCACATTTTCCTTCATTTCAGTTGCTTTGTTTGAAGCATCCATCTCTCACCTCTTCTTCTCTCCTCCAGTCAGACTCCTTTTGTTCCAGTTCCTCCCTGGCTTTTTTCCAGTCAGCAGTAAGCCTGCGGATGTCCTGGCTGAGAGCCTCATTAGCCAAACCAGCTTGCTCCAGCTGCTCTCTCAACATGGCGTTCACCGCAGACAAACTGCTGCTCCTGAAAACACAACAAGAAAACACCTAAGCAAAAAAATCAGATGTTTACGGAGCAAGTCAAGCAAAAGCAACACAATTTCTCCAAATGTCTAATGCGCAAAAGTTCATTAGACCAATTTTTTTGCCAGTTTATGTCACATCTCTCATATAATCAGTCACCTCTGCCGTTCTTCCTCCAGACGGATTAAAGAATCTTCCAGGTTGCTGCTCGACTCATCTTGATGGTGACCGTTTGATGTTTCACTGTGAGCCTAAATGAGAAAATGTGACGTCAAATGCGCTACTTCTGGAAAGTTAATGGTAGTGTGAGTAGAAGTTCTCTCCCTTAATGTTAAAAAGCAATCAGCATCACTTACACTTGGCCTGTGTTTCTCCAGCTCTGAGGACTTCTCCTGCAGCATCTGCTCCAGATCCATACACCTTTTTTTGTATTGAAGTACCTGAAGTAGCAGCAAAAAAATGATAGTTTGTCATGTCTTGAGAATGTCATCTCAGCAAAAGACATAATAGAGGAATCATACCTTGGCCTGCAACTTCTGCACCAGCTGCGCCTGCCTCTGTTGACCCTCCTGGTATGCAGTGAGTTTACGCTTGTAGGCTGCTTGTTCCTCGTCCAGCCGTCTGCGTAAATCGACATTCTGCTGAGCCAGGCTGCGGGACTCTGGTGACTCAAGGTCCCCATCTCCTGTCTCAAAACGTAAGGCCTGCTCCAGCTGAAGGGTTCATTAGAAGTAAGAGGAAGGGGCTAACATTTATTTTTACACAGATATTTCACAGATAGTCACAGACATGGTGTGCACTTCAGTTAATTCAGTTTTTAACTACCTATTTGATATTTTACATGTGCCCACACCTCTGTGTGACTATCTAACAAGATCATCATTACTGTAGAACCTACAAGTAGGAGTTCAACACCCAGTGTTTCATTGTTAAAGGGATCTCTAATTCAGGTTCGTAAACGCAATAATGCTTTGATATCTCTATGGACTGTTGTCCTGCATGGAACAAAGTGTTTGTATCAGATGCTGTCAAGCTACATCACTTAATAAATGCTTTGGTAACTTATAAATGTCAGCTCAGCTCCTAATCAGTGTAGATGCTGCAGATGTTTAACACTGCAATAGTGTACTACATATACATTTAGATTGGCTCCAGCCCTCCCGTGACCCTATTCAGGACTAAGCGTTATAGATAATGGATGAATGGATGGATGGAAATACATTTAGAAACTAGCACAGGGAGCACCCAGATGGCCCAGGGACTTGAGGTGTTGACTATGAACTGTAACGCCCCAGGTTAGAGTTTGGCTGTCACTGACAGGCTGCTAATACAAGCACAAAATACAGAACAATATTTCTGAAGATTAAACTAGTTCATAATAATAATGGATGACAAGATTTTACAGTGTTTTCAGACTCATCTCTTATGCTCCACTCATAATTGTACTGCCAGTATTAGTGTTTTTGTTTTGTTTTTTCTTGCTACTGGCTTGACATTTAAACTAAACTAAGTATTTTTGACTCCTACCAACAATTTATCTCAGTCACTCACTCCAGTTGGAAAAGTTTATATTATAAAGTTTTATAAAAGAGTTTGTTTTTTTTAAGGAAAGAGATTTGAGAGAAAACGTTCATCAGGATTGCCTTTTGTTTTGGACGCAGACCTGCACGCTTCCTGCAGTAATGTTCAACCCAAAATGAGACGTGGTGCCCACCCACCAGTGCTACACCTCCTCTCCACTGAAGCCCCTGTTTACAATCACCCAGGGTGACAGGCGCCATGGCAACATTCCACTTCACCTCATTCCAGTTCCCATCACCGTGGAGACAGCTAATCTCAGACAAAGAAACGCCAAGAAAAAGAGGTACACAGGAAAAAGAGAAAAGCTACAAAGTACTTGCTTAAATATATATAACCTGGAGGATTTTTAAAGTCTGGCAATCTCACTTTTTACACAAAGCGTGTACGTGATGGACACTGATATGTCATGTGTTAGTCTGCCTCAGTTTTGTTTCTATCCAGCTGGGAACAAGCCCCAACTCACTGCACCTCTGCCCATATTACAAGTTGTTGCTGCTGTCCTGGTGTCTTACCCTCTCACTAATTGCACCATACTTGATGGCGAGCTCATCTCGGTCGGCTCTGCTGTGTGCCAGCAGGTCCTCCAGCCTCGCCAGCTCTCCCTGCAGCACTCGGTTCTCATCCTGGAGGGACATGACGGAGGACATGGCTCCTGCTGCTCAGAAAAAACGAAGACAATGATTAGGAAAAGAAAAGTGTAAAAGCATTGAATCTGAAACAAAAGAGAGCAGACTGTGGCATCTCACAGCTATCGTTGAGGTTCTTTGTGACAATCTCGCGTACTCGTGCTGGTAGACATGTAAGTGGGGCATCAGGTGAAGGGCCCCGGACCGTCAGCCTCTTCTCCTCAGATAAAACACTCTGCTCAAGCTTCTGATGTACAAAGCACAGACATTTACCCTAACATTGTGTAACATTTACAAAGAAACACAAACCAAGAGACAGACATCCTTCAGTATGCAGGCAATGGAAACAATGCATAATTAACTGAAAGATGATGACGATGTGTTTGATGTGGCACAAAACCAGGTGGTGCTGCAATCACACCAATCCAAAACCTGACCTCCAACACAAACAAGCACACACGCACAGTGTAAACCAGCAGCTTTATTTGCCACATCACACACCAGGCAGCGCTTGCTGAACATTAAATAAGCGGATGGAGGAAGGCCTGGTGCACCTCACCTGTATCACAGACTCCAGTTTGTTGGAGTCCGTGTCTGAGTTTCCCGCAGCGCTCATCGCGTCGGCAGCAGGTATTTAAAATCCTCCGGGGAACGGGATTAACTCCGAGTAAATACTTTTCCTCACGATTTCAACGATCGTACTTTTGTTCCCAGTAACAGCGAAAAGAAAGCCCACTTCACAACCAGCTGGTTGTTGGTTGCTGTGGGAGCCCACAGTGTTTGGTCGCAGAGGAGCAGAGAGCGACCGTCCCGTCGCCTCCACCTCCACCTCCACCGGAACAGGACGGGCAGAGATTGAGGACAGCAGGATTAGTAGGTTTAAAGATGCACACCCCTCCACCTCACCTCACCCTCGCTGCGCGTACACAACAAAGGAAAGCTGAAAGGACCCGAAATTGGAGCATCGTTTATAACAATATAACTGTGCAGCAGGAGTAAATAAGGAGCACAGCTAAAGCTAGTTAAAGAAAACACTGTGTCTCTCATATTTACTCAAAATACATTTGATTCTTATTAATGTGTCCGTTATTTTTTAATAAAACTATGGGTTTCATTTACTTTTTACATTTTAAATGTGTTTGAAATGTGCCACCGGTGCCCCAGCCTGCCCAGCCCACCCAAAAATCTCTAGATCCAGCCCTGCTTATGGATTCCTTAGCCCTCCTCAACCATCACAGCTACGGTTAATGGTACTGTAGGCTACATGCGTAACCCAAACACTTATCCAGCCCTTACGCCTAAAAGCAAGAAACCCAGACAGGCCTTTAATGGCGTAAGTAAGAGTCACAGTGTCCTCATTCACAAGGTCCAAAACAAACTGTTCTGTACAAAAGTGCACACACATAGGCTACTTATACTCATGCAAAGTAACTTACAACATTTCAACCACAAATATGTGATTTCAACTTAAACACACCAGGAATAAGCAATACATTGTTAATTATTACCCCAAGAATCAGCTCTTTTTTGTAATATATAGAATGGTTGAAGTGAGCTTTTGTATGTATTTCCCCAGTTTTCAACGCCATACTCTAAGTATGGTAAAATCAATGAAGAATACAAAATGCGTAGTGCTTTCCCGTCCAAAATACAGTGCCTTGCGAAAGTATTCGGCCCCCTTGAACTTTGCGACCTTTTGCCACATTTCAGGCTTCAAACATAAAGATATAAAACTGTAATTTTTTGTGAAGAATCAACAACAAGTGGGACACAATCATGAAGTGGAACGAAATTTATTGGATATTGCAAACTTTTTTAACAAATAAAAAACTGAA